AGAATTCTTCTACGTATCAACACGATCTTTATTAGTGCGTAACCCTTCAGACCGACACGATGCCATAAGTTCGCCTAAAAACAAGTTAGTGCAATATCGCAGCTTTCGTGATCGGCGAAGAAGTAAACAAAAACCTTTTTCTTTCTCTCTCTCTCTCTCTGATTTAGAGATGGTTCATCAGTAGTCGTGTATATTTTCATTTCTCCATAGGTTTTCAATTGAGTAACATGTTAAGCCTTGTACGTACACGTTATATACATTGAACGTAAATGTAAGAATTTGGATACATTTTTCATTGTTTGTGGATAATCTGCTTCGGTATGATGTATATATTATTATTATTATTAATTATTAATTACTATTATTATTACTATTAGGATTATAATTATTATCGTCACATCACTTTCTGATATCTGTTGCCGGACTGAAGTGTTAAAATTAGACTGCATTTTTTCATCTAAATAGGTGGTTTGCAATTGGAGCATCGTCAGTCCAATTATTTATGTCCAACGATCGTTAATAGATCTGTTTCTTTCACGGATATACGTTTACCTTAGATACGCATCATTCGTGAGTTAGAAAATATTTTAACAGAAACGAGAAATGGTGAATCTTTTTGTTGCGTTTCATCATGTGGAAACAGATTGTTCTTATTTCCGAACGAATTGGCGAATTTGAATCATGCGTATCCAATGTGTATTCAAATCTTTGTTTTATCTTACTCTCGAAGGTAATGACCTGATCCCCGCTGTGGAGAATTTAATATTAATTTGAAAATAATATTCTTTGTACGTGGAATACAATTATAGTGACATTAGTGTAATATTTAATGGGTATTTGTGGTATACTTACGTGTTTTGCTCGTTGCCTTTTTATTATAAAGGAAAAATAAGACGGAAAAAAATGAAGGAAATACGTAAACGATAATTTAGCCATGGTATTTAGGCGAACGAATACGTCGAACGATATTCCAACAATTTTCTCATCCGCAATGTCACAATGCGATATTGTACTTCAACTTTGTTAATTTATTTTCTCACGTATTACTTATGAATCGAATCCAAGCAAAGTAAAAAAAAAAGAAGGAAAACGAATACGAATCATGTATAATATCGTCAGTATTATTTCTCACGTAACGGATTACATTATAATCGTTTTTGATTGATCATAGACATTAAAACCGATCAAATATCTTTTATCTTTATCAATAAAAATTTGTTCCTAGGATTATCATCTTTACGATTTTGTGTCTCATTGTTATTCAATCACCAATCATCGTTCGTTTTTGGACTCGGGGAAGGGGATAAATCGATCATTTTTATTTCTCATCGAAATTCTTTATTTCGTTTTGTACAAGGTTCGATTGCAACAGTCTCGCTACCTTTTATAAACAGACACACATTCTTTTTATTATGTCAGCACGTTACTCATCCAAGGTCATTTCTTATTTTACAATTGTTACGCTTCGTGATGTGAATTCATTAAATGTATTACCATTATATCTCTCTGGTAGCATAGCAGTTTTAATTTATCAATATTCGACTACCATACTTCATTTTTCAAGTTCGTTTCATACTTCTGTTGCGATTCATTAAAAATTGTGTTTATGAATTTTAAAGGGAAGTAGTAAGGTTAAGGAAATAATAAAACAAACTATATAAAGAAATATCAGCGTGTAACGATGCACGAGAGAACCGTCGACGAAATTCGCCTTGTAAAAAGAAAAAGTATCCGGCTCGAGTAAACAGCGATTTATTTAGTATATACGTGTAGAGCCTTTTTTAAAAACACAACCACGTGCATATGAACAAATTAATTATAAACCTAATATTCGACGTACTTCAGCGATTTCTCTCTCGCTCTCAAAACATACACATACACTCTATCTCTCTTCCTCTAAAAATATCTTATCTTGCTAAACGACACTTACATTGATAGATGTAACACATTACCAACTGCCATTAGAATTTATGTAAGTAAGCGAAATACGTACTGCTCTCGTATCGTGAAAGGTTGCCTCGAGCCAGAGCTGAATTAAAAGACAGGCCCTTCTGGAGATTATTTCATTTCCAAGTGCTAATCCAAAGTACAAGCACTCTAAATTATCTATTTAAAAAAAGGGCTCGATTAATGTACTGTGTATACGTTTGTAGTAAACGTACCGTGGGAAAACGAAACTGTACTGTGAACATACAAATACACCAATATAATACGAAACAAAATTATAGCAACGAAATTATTCATCACAATTTTGCCATTATTCGAATGCGCGTAACTTTGTTAATTCTCATCGTATCGAGACGATTCTTTTTTCATTTTGTTACTAATCATCTGTACTACAGAATTCTTTCCGTGTATGGAGGTTTTAGTATTCGATTCTGTTAATATTCGTTGAAAAATGAACGAGTAACTTTGAAATTTTTATGGGAGTATATATATCTATATCTATACTGTATATTATATATATATATTTAGGTAGTTTTGATCAGAACCTTCGGCAAAGGTCTAAGTTAATGGCGCCATCGGTGGCAAAACCTCCAAGCTTGTAGTGCAAATAGTTCTTACTGTTTCTGCTAGA